CAAACCGACACACGAAAGTTAGCGCTTTTATAAAATAGAAGGATAAGTAGCTCTTGAGGTTCAAACGCAGCCTGAAAGTAAATCTTTGCCACTTGTTGCAACAACCTGATAGTTGAAGCACTATTGGCTGTAGGATGTGTGTTAGTAGCATGTTTCGACACTACTTATTCAACGTTTCACTCTCAGTCACGACGTATGTCCTAAGATATTGTTCAGGAATCACTGATCCCAGCGAATCAGAGTTCCAACTGATTCAATGTTCTCATAAGGGTTTGTACGAGTCTGTACGTCAATAAAACCGCCCCTTCTGCGTCAGTTCCCTTTCCACGGTTTATGTTACTGACATGTGTTCTATTGCACTGCGTTCTACGTTTACTCACTGAAAAATTCCTTTTGTCTTATTTACCTCTCTTCTGGCCTTTGATTGCATGCGATTGGAGCGGCAGTATTGGAGCGTTGATTCATTGAACTATTTCCATCTCACTAACGAGTATGAGACTCTGTTCCTCAGACTTCGAGACCCTATTCCTAAAACAAGATTTTATGGAATCGTCTTGCCACTGATTTGGCTGCCATTCAACAAAAAAGAAGAGGCATGCTGCTGCTTTGATGTTTCGGAGGCGTGATGATATCACAGGACCTCTTGTCATGCAAAGTCACACCATAAAAGTGGAGGCCGTAGTGGTTCCAACAGGACGCATGTGTTTCGCTTGCTGTTCGCCAGCTGCAAAGAACGTTTATTTTACAATGGACATTTTACAGATCAAAATACATGAAAGCACCAAGATAGCCGAAATAAAATCGATTTAGCAACACAAATGAGTATAAACACACATTGTCATTCCAGGAAGTGAGCTTGATTAGCGCCGAGCCATATTATTTGTCGTGCGTTTCAAAGCGTATGCTTCCAGAGTTACTCGTGCAGTACGCCAGGGTTACCAGAGAAGATACATTTCATAACAGTAAAACACCACTGAACGGTGATTCACATATTAAAGAAAGGAGGTTAAGGAGAGATGCAATAAATTCTTATGGCAAAAATAAGTCGTAGAAAAGACATAAAAATCTCAAGTCTTAGGATATGATTACTACATATACGTCGCTATCAGAGGAGCGCTGCATCGATTAGAACATAGAGCCGAGAATAGCGCCATCGATCGCACCGATCAAGGCTCCATCAACTGCTCCCATCAGAGGACCTACAAAGAATCACATTACATTTCTTGAAATATATCTCAAAAGGCAGTTTGGACATTTCAGTACCAGATGGCCACTAATTTCGTCCTCGTTCTTTTAGCTGCCAATTTTGCAGGCCTTAATCCCGTAATTTTATTTTCTTTGGAGTCACGCGTCTGACCGGCTGTTCCGGTGCAGAGTTCGTTGCGGTAAATTCTAAATTAATTGTCGCGAGTTTTTTCTACAGCTTCTGTTACGCGAGGTCAAGGAGGGTTCTTTACCTGCACCTCCGAAACCGGGACCATATCCGTAACCTCCATACGGTCCAAATCCTCCATAAGGGTAACCAAAACCGACTGGGCCCTCGATAGTGTCGCCAGTTGAAGAACAAGGAGGAGAAAACAAACAGCTAGATTCATTTCTGAAGCAAAGAGTGGGTTAATCTGGGTTCCAAACTCCGATATATTACAAGTTACAAGACTCCCATACACCAGCATAAACATGAGCACGTTGCAGAGGAAATTGAGGAAGATACAAAGAGTGCAATGAATGACAACGACGACTCTGTGTTCTTTTAAGCAGGATACAGTTGAAAGAAGAAGTGTGAAGGTCATAAGTAAAGACATTTTAATACGGTCTACGCACCCACAAGTGCAATATGACGTAGTCCGAGCGGTCGACTTGGTGTTCTTCACGTTCCGCAATCCTCGATTTATTGTGACCGTAAGCGCAAAAAGTGTGCGATGTTTCAAGTTCTAATGATGCGCACGGGTGGCTTAATTCGACGAACAACCATCAACGCGCACCTGCTTTTTTTGCATGATGAGGAAATTAATGATTCATCACTAAAGAATAATTTTTACTTGTTTTTGTTTGTTAACTGCTGTTTTTGGCCGCAGTTCGCCTTGCGAATGTTTCACAAGAATGCTGGGTTGTGAACAAAACTTTCGCCCCAGGCGGGACTAGAACCTCTCGCTTTCCGGGCAAGTGCGCTACCAGTTACGCTACCGGGGCACCATTTCATTCCAACTCAGCTTTTCATGGTATACGTACCATAGCTTTCAGCACTCACACTACAGATAATTTTCTTCTCAGTACTCCACCCTCGTACATTAGCGAGAAAATTCCAACAATTAATGAAATATTGGAAGTGAAGCGGATTTAGTGTTTACGATGATTTCATACCTTAACATCAAGATGGAAAAAGTTGGTAGTCGGCGCAGAATGCATAGAACGGACGTTAGAACTGAAAAATCACTCGGGTTTTCAGTTTAGAACAGTCCCGATACTCCATAACTAGACTCAATTTTTGTTCTATTAAGAAATGCACACTGACGCAATCGGCGGCGACGCTGACAAAAGGATGCCCGGTAACGGGAAAAGCACTCGGTCTTGGACGACTGCTAACTGCATTACTTTACCGAGCTCGCCCACTGCCCGATAGTGCATTGAGCTTGCCTCTGGTGAATTTGAAAGGAGCGAAGAAGGACACAGACGAAATAAAGACACTGACGAAAACTAAAGTTACTGACGAATAACAGCAAATTTTCACTAGCACGGAGTGCTGCTGTGAACCTCAAAAAGGCTTTGACCAAGATTCTCGCACCGTTACCGTAGCACACTCTTCTAGGGCTCATATGAACGTTCCCAGTAGATTCGAATGAATTCCTCAATTTTCAGCTGAAATCATCGAGTATGAGTTTATAACAATGCGACAAATTCAAATCTCATTGAAGGTCGTTTGTAAGGAGATGATAGTTTTTTTGAGATTAGCATCCGTACATACTTACGCAGTAGCCGAAATAATCGATGAAGACTGATAAGCAGTATGCAACGTAATGAGGAGAAGTGGATTGTCGATTCGTATCTGCCGAGACTTCCAGCTTTGATGGTTCACGATGTCGGCTAGTAGCATATTTTATTCTACTACTTTTCGCTCCTGATATAT